AGTCGTAAAGTTTACGACTTTTCGACTTTTCGGGTTTTCCCGTTTACGCGAAAAGTTCGCTCGGATTGCACATTTCGGCGCCAGGTTTACGGGTTTACGGATTTACGGGTTTCCCTGCCGCCCCCCCCCCTTCCCCCCAACCTTGCGAAAAGTCAGTTCCGGGTGCACATTTCGGCCCCAAGTTTAGAGGTTTACGGATTTACGGGTTTTCCCGCCCCTCCCCCGCCCAGCCCTGTTCGATTTCAGCAGTTCCAACGGGTGCGCGCGTGGGGGAAAGATGTTCCTCCAACTCCTCCCTCGTCCTCCTCCCCGTCCTCCTCCTCCTCCTCCTCCTCCTCCTCCTCCACCTCCTCCTCCTACTCCGTCTCCCGTTTCTGCTCCATCGCATGCTGATTCCCACGAATCTTCAAGACCGTCGCCACCACAATCATCACTACTATCTTCACCATCATCACCATCACCATCGTCGCCACCGGCATACACGTCACCACCTTCATCGTCACTACTATATTCAACGTCACCCTCGTCATCGTCGTCACCATCACCATCACCATCACCCATAATCACAACCATACGCAATATGCTCATCGCACTCATCCTTGTCCTCCTCGTCCTCACCCGGCTTCTCCTTTCCATTACATTCCATCATCATCATCATCATCATCATCATCATCATCATCATCATCATCATCATCATCATCATCATAATCGTTGCCACTTCCATGCACGTGTCACCACCATCATCACCACTACCATCTTCATCGCCACCACCAACACCATCGTCGCCACCAGCATACGTGTCACCACCATCATCACTCCCATCTTCCTCATCACCTTCGTTATCGTCGTCACCATCACCATCACCATCACCAATCATCACAACCATACGCAATATGCTCATCGCACTCATACTTGTCCTCCTCGTCATCTCCCGGCTCCTCCATTCCATCATCATCATCATCATCATCATCATCATCAACAACATCATCATCATCATCGTTGCCACCTTCATGCACGTGTCATCACCATCATCACCACTATCATCTTCATCACCACCACCAACACCATCGTCGCCACAAGCAGACACGTCACCACCATCATCACTCCCATCTTCCTCATCACCTTCGTTATCGTCGTCACCATCACCATCACCATCACCCATCATCTCAACCACACGATATATGTTCATCGTCACCATCACAATCACCTATCATCACAACCATGCGCTATATGCTCATCGGCATCTTCGCGCGCGGCTTTACCATCACTGTCACTACCATCATCATCATCCGCCTCGTCATCGTCGTCACCATCACCGTCATCAACACCATCACCCATCATCAACGCCGTGGCCTACATCATCCTCATCGCCATCATCCTCGTCCTCGTCGTCCTCTCCCGGCTCCTCCATTGCCCCAGGCGAGTTGAGGTGTTGTTGTGAGAGGTTCTCGGAGGTCTCTTGTAGCCATCTTAAAGCTTTCTTGGGGTCCTGTTGGGGTCCTCTTGGGGTCCTCTTGGTGCCCTCTTGGGGCCCGCTTGGGGCAATCTTGGAGCCCTCTTGGGGCTCTTAGGGGGGGTCAGAGAGGTCTCTTGGAGCTGTTTTGGGCCTCATGGCTCGAAAGAGGGGGATCCTAAATTCAGCTCCCCCCCCCCGAGGCTCAAACAAATGCGTTTGGGGGCCCTCTTGGGGCGGTCTTGGGGTGCTCTTGGGCTGTCTTGGGGCCCTCTCAGGGCCCTCTTGGGCCCCTCTTGGGGCTCTCTTGGGCCATCTTGGGGCCATCTTGACGCTTCCAACCTCCATCGGAAGCGGAAAAGCGACAAGGCCAACACACAGTAATCTTTATTTGGTTTTGGAGCCATGTTGGCTTCTGGGGGGGGTCGCTGGAGGGCTCGGCGGCCATTTGAAACCGTCTTGGGGCCGTCTTGGCAGCGTCGGCAGAGAGCACGCCGCCGGCAGTGAGCTGAGCAGACGACGTGCTAGCCGCTGGCAGTGAGCTCGGTGAGACACGCCGCTGCTGCCAGCGAGGTGCGCCCCTGGCAGTGAGCTCGGCAGATCCCCCCCTCACATGGAGCGTGGAGTTCCCTGGAAGTCCCCATGAGGCCTCCGCTGCGGCCGCCCCGGCGGCCCCAGCGGGGACCCCAAAGGAGAGCCAGCTGTCTTCGATCCTTCCGCTACCCCCAACCCTCTCGGGCGCTCGGCAGCGGGGGGGCACGAAACGGGGTGAGATCGAGGACTGAAGGAGAAAAAACCCCAAGAAGCCATGAACGGCCCTTAAAGATCGCAGCAGCGGAAGCATAGAGCGCGGCCATGTGCGCCTCAGTGTATATTTTCCGACGGGTCGTGGCTGTTTGGACCAGGAATGTAGCCGGTATTGAGGCGAAAGCACGATTCCTCAAGATTGTGAGGAAGCTGTCGGCGAAACGGCTGCCGGACCGCCCGATTTGTGGTGCTATCCTGTGGCTCATGTTGCATCTCAAGTCAGAGCTTGTAGCGAAGCGCTATGATACACTTCAACCTCTTCGCTCATTCCGCCGGCCCATATTGCATGATCGCTACTGCTTCGCCGTGGGCGAGCAGCTCGGGGCCATTGTGGCGCCGCCGAGGAGAAGGAACATGAGGATATGGAAGGGGAGGGGAGGAGGAGGAGAGGATGAGAAGGAGAGGGATTCGGATGAAGATAAGTAGGAGGAGGAGGAGGAGGACGAAGAGGAAGGGGCGGAGGAGGAAGCCTCTCGTTGTCATCTTGTGTTGCTCTTGGGGCCAAACAGGGTCGTCGTCAAGATGCTTCTTTGGGAGGCCTCTTGGGGTCTTTTGAGAAACCGTTCGGGAGCGCTTGGGAGGCATTTGTGAAGCCTTCTGGGGCCTCTTTTGGGCCTCCTGGGGGCCTCCTGGGGCCTTTTGGGAGCCTCTTGGCGGCATCTTGGGGCCTCCTGGGGGCCTCTCGGGGCCTCCTGGTGCCCTCTTGGGGCGGAAGGCTCGAGTTTTTGGTTCGTGGTCCCCCTCTTGGTCCTCTTGGGGCCATCTTGGGCCTCTCTTGGGCCGTCTTGGGCGCCTCTTGGGCCGTCTCGGGGCCCTCTTGTGTCCTCTTGGGGCCCTCTTGGAAGCCTCTTGGCCCGTCTTGGGGCGCTCTTGGGGGCCTCTTGGACCGTCTACAAGGCGAAAATCTTGCCCAAACCATCATACAAGCTATGGTTTTGGCATCTCGGGGCCCTCTTGTGAGGCCTCTTGGAGGCCACTTGGGGGCCTCTTGGACCGTCTTGGGGTCATCTTCGGCGTCTTGGAGCGCTCGTTGGGCCTCTCGGGGGCCTCTTGGCGCGCTCTGGGGGCCTGAGAGGCCGCGCCCAGGCGGAAAACCATCTCTGAGTCGGACCGCCCGGGACCTTGCCGGGATATTCTTCGTTCGGGGACCCCCAGGGGCCGCCCCGCGCGCGCGAACTAGAAATACTGTTAACCAGTTGCTGGAGATCTTAGCACGCCTCTAGTCCGTTGGGCTGGCGAATTACATGTCGTCGGAGGCCTGGGCCTGCTGTTCCTCCTCCTCCTCCTCCTCCTCCTCCTCCTCCTCCTCCTCCTCCTCCGCCACCTCCTCCTCCTCCTCCTCCTCTTCCTCCTCCTCCTCCTCCCCCCTTCTTCTCCCCCTTGTACCCTCGTCCTCTCCTCCTCCGCCTCCTATCCCCTCCTCCTTGTCTCCTCTCCTCTTCTCCTCTTTTCCTCCTGCCCCCCCCAGTCCTCCTCGTCTCTTCCTTCTCTTGCTCCTCCTCCTTCTCCTCCTCCTCCTCCTCCTCCTCCGCCTCCTCCTCCTCCTCCTCCTCCTCCTCCTCCTCCTCCTCCCCCTCCTCCTTCTCCTCCTCCTCCCCCACCTCCTCCTTTCCTCCGCGGCCCTGGTCACCGCCCGCTCGGTAATCGCGTAAATTCGGAAAGTCGTAAACCAGCGCGTGGCTCGTTACGCGTTTAACGCTGGGGCCGTTTCCGCGCAAATCGGCCAGTGCGGGGAAACCGCTACTTTACCCGAAAACCGTCCGGTTTACGACTTTACGGGTTTTCCCGTTTTCGCGCACATCGGCCATTTCGGGAAAAGCGCTACTTTACGCGAAAACCGTCGGGTTTACGACTTTACGGGTTTTCCCGTTTTCGCGTTTTTGGCGGCTCGCCCGCTTGCGGCTTCCCAACTACTCCTCGCCAGCACAGCCCGGCTTCGTCTTCGGGGTTCGTGCTTGGGCAGGGGCGGCACGAGGACGGAGCGAGGGACAGCGCCAGCGAAGGTCGGGCCGAACGAAAGGGGGGGAGAGGGAACGGGGGGGGTACGAAATCTGCTGCATGCAGCTCATTTCGGCCCCGCCGCCGGGCCCATTCCTCGAGACGTGGGCGCCTCCCGGCGCCGGGAGGCGCCGGGAGAATCAGCGATGTGAGCTGATTCTCAACCCCCCCCCTTTACTATCCCCCCCTTTCGCCCATCCCGAGAAGAGCACGGTTCAGCCCGAGCCTTCTGATATTCTTGCCCATTCTTAGCTCTGATCACCAGAGAGAATTTTCGAGCACCCAGAAAGTATCGACACTGGAGGGATATCACGTGTCGGGCCCTGGGAAGCGATGCTCGTTCGACATTGTTTCGATACAGTCCTGGGTGCTCGGGATGATTTCTGGGATGTGGTCCTTAAGTGCGATGGGAGCAGCATAACTCGAGCCCCCTGTCTGTGGCCGCCCCACTGGCGCCCCCCCGCGCGCGCCCGATGTGTGTGTGTGTGTGTGTGTGTTGCGGGCAATACTTATATCCATATCCAGAGCGTCTTGGAATGTTTGGGAAGGGGTACCGCAAGGCCGAGTCGCACTGGATATGGATGAATATCGAGCCTTTGGGGGCCAGATGTTTGTCCATATCCAGTGCGCCTCCAGTTTCTCTGGGGAAGGTAGCCCAAAACTCCAAGACTCATTGGATGTGGATATAACGATTGCCCGCATGTGTGTGTGTGTGTGTGTGTGCGTGTGCGGCGCCCGCCAGGCTCCGGTGCGCGAACGACGGGGAGTGCGAAGGCGGCCCCTGCAGAGCCCGCGCAGTCGCGGCGGCAGCTCGGCGGGTCGGCGAGGCGGGGGTCTCGCGGCCGGGAATGCTGATTTACGGCGTTGGAGGGTCCCAGGTTCGCCAGGGACTGGCGCCCCCTCCCAAAACGACGAGGACCCTTCCAGAAACCCTCCCGCGGCCCTCCGAGAAGCCTCCCAGAGCCCTGCCCGGAGGGTTCTGGGCGGGGAGCCCGCGCAGTCGCGGCGGCAGCTCGGTGGGTCCGAGGCGGGGACTTGCGGTCGTGAACTTGGACTTGCCAGGCCCCCTCTTCGTGGTGACAGAAGTCACGACGGGAGGTTTTCGCCATTTTCGGCCTCCAGGGGCCCTTGCCGGGCGGGCCCCGGGGATTTGCAGTCGGGAACTTTGACGTATAGTCGAGGCCCATGCCAAGAAACACCCTGCTTTGCCTCCAGGGTGGCCTGGGTCTCTTAGGTTTCGGTGGTTTCGCTATGGAGAGCGCGACGCTCCCGCACCAAGAACCCATGGACGTCCGGGGGTCTCAGGGTTGGGTCCCTTGTGGAAGGTTTCTTGCGGTCGGGAACTTGGATTAAGTCGGGCCTGTTCCTCTACAGGGGGAATATTAAACAGTCAAAACGTAGCCTGGGGACTGTTTTTTTAGTATTTTGGGGCATCTTTTGAGCATTTACGGAGTATGTTTATTTTTCGTCGAAAACCCTTTTGTAGGGGGACACGCCCGAGTTAAGAACTTGGACTTTCCATGCAGACCCCCTCGCGTGGGAAAACAACTCGCGGCGGGAGGCGTTCCGCCGTTTTTTCTCGGCCTCCGCGGGGGCCCTCGCCGGTCGGGCCCCGGGGCACGTCAGAGACGAGTCGGGTCGAAGAGCTGACCCCGGGGAAGGGGTCGAGACCTTTGTGGCCGACTTTTTCTCGGGGGCGGCAAAGAGGGGGGTGATGACTAGAGGGGGTGGATATCTTGGCGGGAGCCGTGATATTTCCCCAGGATTTAATGGCGCCTCCTCTCATTTCATGACGTCCCTGGCTCCCCCCCCCCCTGGGCCGCGCACATGCCGCCGGTCATGATTTTCGCCCCCCCCTCCTGGACGCCCCCCTCTTGGCCGCCACCGATTTTTGAAACAATCCCGACGTCGGGGGTCTGGGTCAGCGTGTCGCTCTGGCAGTTTTGGCTCACCACGCCTCAGCGCGACGCGCTGTTTACCTTTTGGCCCCCCAGCGTCAACGTCCCGAGTCTTTCCCAGCCCCGCGCCCCGTTCCCCACCGCTTCGGGAGAACCGATGATTGGTGGGGTAGGGTCCGACACAGGCGTCCATCCACCACCACCGTGCCAGGCCAGGGCCATATTATTGGGCCCTAGGATGGTGCATAGACCCTCCTGCCTCGGTTAGGAGGGCGTATACTCGGGTGTTGCTAGAGGTGCCCCTGGGCCGAGGTGCTTCCAGGGGCGCCAGGTATGACCTCGCGCGTAACGTTCAGATCAGCGCCTCTGCGTTGAAGCGGCGTGCAGGGTCGCGTCCCGGACGCACACGAGGCTAGAACCTTTGTGCGAGGTGCTCGCTTCGTGCTTTCCGGGGGTGCTTCAGTTCGGGCTCAAGAACGCATTCTTGAAAGGGGCCGCCCATGACAGTGCCAGGCCAGGGGCCTTCTATACACCTCCACCGTTCCATTCCAGGGCCATGTTATTAGGCCCTAGGATGGTGTATATCAAGGGCAGAAAAAACGCCCCTACCCTGGTTTACGACGCGCTGTGCTCTGAAACTCCTGTGGGCTGACAAGGTAAACCCTGCGTGATGTGCCGCGTCCTGGCGGCTCTAGGCTTTGGGGGTTCTCAGGAGGTTTACAGACCACGCACTTGTAATCCAGGGTAGGGTCGTTTTTTCATCCCTCAAGTACAGACCCTCCTGCCTCGGCCAGAGCCATCTTGGGCCCTGGGACGGTGTGTAGACCCTCCTGCCTCCGCCAGGAGGGCGTATTCGCCGTGCCAGGGCCAGGCGGGGCTCGTCCAGAATCCGCCTCTGGGGGGGGGCTGGGGAGGCCTCCGGCGGCCCGGCCCGGCGGCGGCCACTCGCGGAGCCACCCCATGGGGTGCTCGGGGTTTGACAGACCTCCTGCCCTGACGCGTCGATGAGCGAATTGGCCGGTTTCGGTCCGCGAGGGGGCGTCGCGGCCGTCATTGTTGGCGGGTCCGGGCCCGTCGGTTTCGGCCCCGGGCCGCTTTCACCAAGGGGATGTCTATTAAAGGGAGGTTTCTCCACCGCCGAAAGGAGGAGGAGGAGGAGGAGGAGGAGGAGGTTTCGGCCCCGGGCCGCTTTCACGAAGGGGAGGTCTGCGGAAGGGAGGTGTGTCCACCGCCGAGGTGCCCCCGCGGGTGCAAGCGCGGGGCGTGCGCTCTGCGCCGCGCTGCCTTGGTGGGCCGGTTGTCCACCACCACCACAAGCTCGGGAGCCTTGAGACGGGGGTCAATGCAAACGGGGGTCAGCCAGAGCGCCCGATCTTTTGCTCTTCTGAGTGCTCTTTCGATCGAGGGCGCAAGTGTTCTGAAATCTTCGAGCATCTTCCAGTGACATTGACCTCCTCAGCTGGACCCTCAGACCCTCAGGGCGGCCCAAGAAACGCCAAGACGGCTCCAGGACGGCCCCGCTGGGGTCATCTGAAGGCATATCGGACGCTTGGGTTCTCAAAGACGCTTCCCAGGTGTCGGGGAGCTCGGGGGTCCAGGACCCTCACGGCCCAAAGTGAGGACTCTCAGGGACCTGAGGACACTCCTTTCGTTGCCTACGACTGGTTCGTCAGTGGGGAGTCGGGGTGGCCACACGGTTTTGTGGCTCGGGCCGTTTGTTAAGGTCGTCTTGTCGGCGGCGAGCGAGGGGGGAAGTGAGAAGGAGAAGGCTTTCTCAGAAGGCGGCGGGACTTCTCAGAAGTCCTCGCGCCTTCTGAGAAGTTTTCTGTGTCTTCGGGGAAGGCTTCAAGAACTTCTCAGAAGGCCGGGGGACTTCCGAGACTTCTGAGAAGGTCTTCTCTTCTCACTTCCCCCCCTCGCTCGCCGCCGACCTTGGGCGTTCGAGGCTTCCAGGGTCCCAAAACCGTGCGGTGACAGACCGTGTGGTGAGGTCTTTGGGATTCCAGGTCACCGCACAGTCTGTCGGCATACCGTTATGAGACACCCCCCGCCCCGGCTCTCTCCACGCAAGAGTCGGTGCGACCGAAATAGGTACGGGAATATTGGGGGCGAAGACCGACGGCCAGCCCCGCTCATTTCTAGCAGTGCTCGCTGTCGGTGCCTCCGCGGAGGCGTCGTCCACTCGAGGCAAGACGTATGCCGCCTGTCCATCAGCGGTTGCTGTCGATTTTGGGCAACATTCGCTGTCGGGCATCGTGCCCATGTTTTCAGCACCCACTCCCAGACATCCCACGATTTGAACTTTACAATGCGAGGTCTCAGAGGTCCCGACCTCTTCCCTGGGTTTCTCTCCACGAATCCGTTTTCGATGGTCCCAGGGCGCGACACAGGTCCCCACAGAAGGCTGCACACGAGGCACAACGCTCATGATTGAGCACGACCTATAGCCGACGATCTGGGTTGCCGTTCCGACCCAGAATTCCGACGCGACCTTTCCGCAACGTGGGCCCCCCTGGAGGTCTCGGTCTTGTCCGTGGGACCGGTCTCTTATCTAGGGCCTCCTCCTCCTCCTCCTCCCTTTTTGAAGGTGCCAGAGCCTGGTGAGGGTCCCCAGAGACCAACAAAAAGGTTGCTTCTTATTTGGCACAGGCAAATCTGCTTGCATGGCAATCTCCCCCTCCCCCTCCCTTCCGCTCCCTTTCCAGCCGCGCTGTGCCGAAACGGCTTGGCTTGCAAGGGAGTCTCAGCTTGCGTGAAGTTCGATTTTCTTTTCGGGCCTTGCCACTCCTCCCCCCTCTCCCTCCACGCAAGTAAACTTCCCTCTCGGGGCCCTCTTGGGCCGTTCTGGGGCCATCTTGGAGGTCACTTGGTCGATCTTGGGCCGATCTTTGGAGGCTCTTGGGCCGTCTCAGGGCGTCGTTAGGCCAAACAGCCAAATCCTTCGAACACCTAAGGAACATGAATGGTTCTGGCCTCTTCGGGCCTTCCTGGAGGCCCTCTTGGAGGCCTCTGGGGCCGTCTCGGAGATCTCTTGGGGACCTCTTTGGCCGTCTTGGGCCATCTTGGAGCTATCTTGGGCCGTCTTGGTGGGCTCCTGGCCCATCTGATACCGTCGGAAGCCGTCTTGGGAGCCTCTGTGGGACGACTTGGGGCCCTCTTGGGGTGCTCCAGGGCCATCTTGGAGGCCATCTTGGGCGTCTTGGAGGCCTCTTGGGCCGCCTTGGGGCTCCTTGGGGCCGTCTCAGGGCCTTCTGGGCCGTTCTGGGGCCATCCTGGGGGCCTCTGGGGCGATTGGAGGCTCTTGGGCCGTCTTGGGCCGTCGTACGGCCGAAAAAAAAGAAGCAAATACCCGAATGTTTCGAATACCTGACGAACATCAGTGATGCCGCCGCGGCTAGGGGCTGTGGAGCCGGTTGTCCGCCCCTCCCCCCCGGCGCGTGGTGGTCGGGGGTGTCCCATCGGTGGCGCGTTGGTGTCCCGTCGGTGGCACGTCGGTGGTCCGTGTCCCAGAGCAGGGCGGCGCGAGCCAGTGTCTTGGAGCATGTTTGGGAGATCGATAGTGAGATCCGTTGTGAGATAGATAGTGGGATCTGTTGTAGGATCGATGGTGAGATCGCTTGCGAGATCTATAGTGGGATCGCCAGTGAGGTCGATCATGAGATCGATTGTGAGATCGATTCGGAGATCGATTGTGAGTCTGTTAGTGAAAACTGTTGTGATATCGATCGTGCGTTCGACTGTGAGATCGATAGCGGGTTCTCGTCATCATCATCATCATCATCAGCATCATCATCATCATCAGCAGAAGTATCATCATCATAATCATAATCATCATCATCCACATCATCCTTAGCATCATCGTCCTCATCATTAGCATCCTCATGCTCATCATTATCAGC